AAAAAAAAAAAAAAAAATACAACTACTTTGAACAAAAAAAATCAAATGCGTATAATATGCAAACTTTTCTATACGTGAGAGATCATGTGTCTTAATTAGTTGAATTTTCTTGACGATGATGATGATGATGATAATAATAATAATAATAATAATAATAATAATAATAATAATAATAATAATAATAATAATAATAATAATAATAAATACTCTATCAAAATAATAATATCGTACAATTTAAATTTATACATTAATCGATTTCACTGTATATTGTCATATGTGCTTTTAGTCTCTGACATATTTGTTTTATGTAATTGATCATTTCTTTTTGTTTTAATATAGAAAGAATTTTCTCTTCAAAGTTTTAATAATCTTTCTTTTGTATGTTGCAAGCGCATTAATGATATATACTTTTTAATATAAATTTGATATATTTATAATCATCGTTAATGATTTTACCATGCACTAAACATTACTTATTAATTATTTATGTGAGTTTGAGAAAATATGAACCTAATTAGAAAATACACAATTAAAGACACACATTTTCTAAATACCTGCATGACAAATAGTACTAGGTAAAATCAGAAATATAAATTAATTTAAGCAACATAATATTATGTGTGTATATATATATATATATGCTTATTGATCGAATTTCATAGAAGTTGATCAAAAGCTTGCAATATTGCAAGAATCGTAAATATTCATAACATGTATTATATGAATCTTTTAAATACAATGTAGTATTTTAAAATAAATGTTAAGAAGATAATCAATTTTTGTATAAAAATATTTTCTTTATAACGAATATAAATTATTTAAAAAAAGAAAATATCAATATCGATTACGTTCTTGCACTTTTATTTTAAACACTTGCAAGATTAAAAAAAAATAAAATGCGTCTGCTTTTTATTATCTACTACATTTTAACTTTAACTTCATTTTCAACTTCTAATTATATAATTATTGATATATATATCGTTTCTTTGAAAAATAAAATTATTCAAAATTCTTTACAAATTTCTATGAAATAAACGATATATGTTGTTTAATATAATAAAATGAAAAAAAACATTTTGTAATATTATCTTAAAATATTAAATAAAAAACTATCAAATTATTATAAGAAAGTTTAACCTTTTAATGTAAAAGAAAAAAAAATTGAAAAAGAAAAACGATGAAAAAAAGTATTCGTATGAATATTTCAAAATATACTTTTGAAATAAGACCAATAATTTTCTCTGATAATTTGTTTTCAATAAAGGCACTGATAATGAGTGAAACTCATTGATAAAAATTGTTCTACTTGAAGTTTCTCTTTCATTAATTCATCATTGATGAATTTCTAATAAATTTGATGATATTAAAGCTACATGATGTTTTTATACTTATAATCAAATTACTATTTACGCAAACAAGTTCATTTTTTAATAGATTACAATAAATTATACTTTGTTTTTGTCATTATTTCTTCATTTACGTTCAAATGAAAATAGTTATAGACAATAAGACTTATTCAGTAGTAGTAATAGTACCTCATGCATGATTTTCTACTTAATTTAAAGAATACGTAGTCTATAATAACTATATACTGAACAGAGCACATCAATAAATGTCTATAAATGAAAATGTGACATGCATTATCAATTAACATATTTTTCTTTTTTTATCCTTCTTTAAATTATAACATAAAAGGTCAGGATGATATTGTTGTTGGTTAAATCTGCTTACAGGATTAATTACACACACACTCTCTCTCTCTCTCTCTCTCTCTCTTTCTTTTAATACTTTGTGAGAATTTTTTATATTTTTTAATTTCAAAAAACAAAAGTATTAATATATATATATTATATAAAATTATAATAAAGATATATTTAATATTTATAATTAATTCTCACAAAGTTGCAATATATATTTATAAATACAGGTATCTTGTAACAGGTAGTTATAAACGAGTAAGAATTAATTCAAAATGATTGAATAAGTTGAAAACATAGAACAAAATTTGTTTATATAAAGTTTTGTTTTTGATGAGAATAAGTTTGAAAATTTGATAGTACTGAAATCGTACATTTCATTTGATTTTAGATTAACTAATTTTGATTTTACTTTTATACTTATCGAACAAGGCTTTGAGTTTTCAAAATTGTAAAGCCTAATCGACGAATATTCAAACTTATTTTTATAAATAAATTGTATTCTACATTTTCAATTTAGTTTTTCATATAGAATCATTTTTTACTCGCTTATATCTATATCGGTTACAATACAACACCCTGTATATATAATATATGTGCATAAAATATTTTAAAAAACAACGCAATATATTTAATAAAGTATATATAGTTTGATTATTTTCTTAAAATGAAAAGATCATTAATTATTATTATTTAACTCTTATAATTAATACTCAAAAAAATGTGAAGATATTCTTTCTTTGAGATAATGTATATAATATGCACACGTGTTACCGGAGAGTGCTGCATATTTATTTTATCTTATTAAGGCAATAGTTAATATCAAAATCAATCTCTATCTCTCTTTCTTTCTCTTTTGTTTTCTTTCTTTCTCTCACTCTCTCTTAAAAAATAACATAAACTATTTATTATAACAGGCGGTGATGGTGGTTAGAGCGCTTTTATATATAATGAGAGGGATCTTTTCTTCTATAAAACCACAAGAAACATAAAAAATAACAACATTTTAGGATATTGCGTGTACAGATGAATAAAGTAGACATATTGAGTTGTATATATTTTTGAAAGCGTATATATGTATTATTTTAAGATACAATCTTGCATCGTGTTGTTTGTTGTTGCCAGAAGAACGACGTATTTCATATAAGGTGTCTTCCTTCTTCCCAAAGCTTTGAGTCAGCACTTGCGTATGAAACACATTTTAATAGGTAATGTCTTTTCTACTACCTCTGTCTCGTTTTCTTTCTAATTTAGCATCAATAAAGTAATAAATAAATATATATATATATATATATATATATATATATTTCTTTTTTTGAAAATACCCATTTCATCAATTTAATAATATTGCCAATCAATAATAAAGCATCGACAACACATTGTCCCGATTAAAAATCTAAAGTGTTTTTTGTTTTTTTTTTTTTGCTTTTTTTTTCATTTTAAACTACATGCATATTTTCCTTATACACTTATAATGCTAATTACATATATAATGTTTATATTTAGATGTATTATCATCTTACAATATGCTTATTACGTAAAAGAATAAGAATTAGAATAAGAGATTAAGAAGAAGAATTAAGAAGAAGAAGAAACGTAAGTTAGAATCAATATAAGATAATTCTACTGAATATTAATATATATGATTGAGGATTTTGTATTATCCTTACTTTTTTTTTTTTTTTTTTTAATTATTTTTTCTTAATATATATATTTTTTTTTTGTAATCTTTAAACTGAAGTAATAAACACACGAATACCTTTCGTAAATCATATTTATCACTGTATCTCTCTCTTTCTCTCTCTATTAGGAAAAAGTAGAATGCAAAAAATGTATCATCATCTATATGTATATATATATATCATTTTTTGTTTGTTTGTTTGTTTCCTACTAAACATATTTATCAACATTTTTTGACGAATCTTGTGTATTTTATAGTGAGAACACACACAGAGAGAATAAGTGCGTTAATCCTTAATTACAAGCTTTTTGTAAGTCCCTCTTTAACTTTTTGTTTCATTAATTATGTTTTTTTATTTTTATTATTTTTTTTTTGCATTACTCTTTCTTTTTTAAAATTGAACAGAGAGACTACCGTTAAAAAGGTCACAAATGTTATGTTTTTTTTAATAGTTTAATCGTTTTTACTAAATATTATTTTTCCGTTCTCTTCGAAGAACTAAATCTCGTCTCTTTAATGTCTTGAACGATGTGAAGAATCTCCTCTTTCATCACGTCGATCTCTTTCTCGTTCACGTTCTCGTTCACGTTCCGGTTCTCTTTCACGTTCAGATGGTCTTCGGCTTGATTCTCGTTCTCGTTCTCTGTCTCGTTCACGTTCTCTGTAGCGATCGTCATAATACCTACACAGGACACGTCAGCCAAATTATCTTATTTTAATGTTGAGCCTATATCTTACGTCTCTTCGTACATTCGCTAGTTTTTTTTTTTTATCAAACATTTAATCAACACACATACTCTCACACTTACTTTCTTTCTATCTTTCTTTCGCTCCCTCTCTCTCTCTTCTTTTCTTTGTTTTTTAATCTACATTATAAATTACAGTGAATATCTTTTTATTCGAGTGTAACTTACAAAAAAATATTTAAACAAAATTATCCTCAATATTTTAATCGCACGCTTATTTTTTTTAAATATATATATTTATATATATATGTGTGTGTGTGTGTCTGTCATACAATTATTAATTTTATTTTTTTTATAATATTTATCTTATAACAAAAAACAAATATATATAAATATATATATATCAAAGTATTGTATAATGCAGACATAAGATTTCAATTTAAAAAACAAAAACAAAAACAAAAAAATATTGTAGTTAAATAAGTACTGTGCGAGTTAAAAAAAAGAAAAAGGTATCTTTTGAATTATCTAAAATATAATTTGATAATTCATTAAAAACTAATATATAACATTTTGTTGTTGTTTGTTGTTGTTGTCTTCACTTTATAACGATACATGTTTGATAAGAAAAAAAAAAAAAAAGAAAAATAAAAATATCTTTCTATAATAATATAATTATTATAATAATAACCATAATAATAATAATTACTTGTAAATGAATGAAAAAAAAAAAACAAAATGGAAATATAAATTCTCTATTTGCATACATCTTTTCGGTTTAAATATATAACATTTGATATTTAAACAGGAGAGAGGTATATATTCAATACTCGTTAACAAAATATAATAATAAAATGGAAAAATAATAGAAGAGTACGTAATAGTATAATTAATAATAATTATAATAATTTTAATAATAATAATGTACATTTAAAATGTACATCGAATATATATATGTTTTTTTTTTTTTAATGTAATATTATAATATTATATTCTAAGCACATGCTATATTTGTCATGTTGCAGGTATACTTCAAATTTATTATTTAATAATCATAGTCCACATGAAATATTTTTATTATACTTTTTAATTTCGTTAAATGGTAATATATATGTAAGTTACAAGTTATTAATTTATATGGCATCGCATATTAATAATGCTTTGTGTTTTCTATATTCGTTTAGAGGTTTTCATGTATTGTTTTTTGTTTCTCTTTTTTTTTTTTTTACTAACAATTTTACTGACAATATGTATTTTCTTTTTTTTTTTTTGTTGTGATACATCATAAGACTTATTTTTGTTGTTGTTTGTTTTATTTACATGCATTCATTTTAAGAAAAAAAAAGTAGATTACCTAGACGCCTTGGAAGACGAGACGGGAGCCGTCTCTGGCGGTTCTTCTTTTACTCTCGGCCTGGCTGACTGACGTGTCGTACTAATGGAAAATGCATATTTTGTGTTATGATTTTTTAAATACTATTTTACCAGGCTTCTAATTTGTTAGAAGATAATATATAATAATTATATTATAACTAAAATTTCTACTTTTCAATTTATATGTAAATATATATACATACATATACATGTGTATATATATTTCATTAATTCATATTATCAAAATTAAAATCAAATCTACGTAAAATAAAATAAATCTAGAAACAAAAAAAAATATATATATATATATACATATATTAAACCACTGAAAATGCAATTAAATTGTATACATATGTTTTACATTTTTAATTAAAGTATAAAATTTGTAAATAAATATGTACAATAGTATGATTTATATTAATTTACATATATATATATACTTTTTTTTTATAGTATATTAATATAAAATACTCTCATTGTATATTTTATATTATGACGACGTAGGATCAATTTTTAATACATGTATATTTGCATGCTAAATTATTTTCTATAACATTTCAATAAAAATGAAATAAATATATTATCGGTGTATATATAACCGATATATAATTCAAACACAAAATTTGTATGAAAATCTTTCTTTAAATTTAAATAAAAAATAAAAAAAAAAATAAAAAAAACTATGACTGTTGTAAATTATCTTAATTAGTCTTTTTAACAAATTACATAATACGCAAAAAAATAATTATAATTAATAAACATATTTTTAAAGTTTTCAATTTTATAATTATCGAGTATTATTACTCGTACGATCAATTTTCATTTGAATAATTTAATTATATACAAAATCTTTGAATAAACGCTAAAATTAAAAATGCCTAAATGATTTAAAATAACATTTTATATAAAAATATATTATTATTATTATTTAATCGTGTATAATCAAAATGAGGACGAAAATAAAAAAAATTCATTTTCATTTTCATCATTTTGTAAAATATGTGGTATGTACATCAGATATATGTATGTATATATATTATTATAATATAATAAATAAAATTTTTCTTTTTTTCTTTTTTATGTTCGAACTGATATAAAACCTTCTTTCTACGTATTTCATATGTATTTAAAATGATTAAATCCAAAAAAAAAAAAATTAATTCGTTAAATAATATAATAATAATAATAATAGTAATAATAATAGTTATAATAATAATAATAATAATAATAATAATAATAATAATAATAATAATAATAATAATAATCGTTTTAATTGTATCGAACAATTATAAATAATAAATATTCATATATTTCTATAAGAAATGTTCTTTTGCGTTAAACATATTTATTTTATGTTTATTACTCTAAAATCGATAAAAGATTATACATTTATATCAAAATATATATCTTACCAAGAATTACTACCATGAATGTGATGATTACTTTGCTTTTATTTTCTTTTTTTTCACCACATTATTAAATTTTTTTTATTTATTTATATATATATATATATTTTTTTTTGGTACACAACAGTGCTAATATTTCACATATTTCTTTTTGTTTTTAATGACCCTAATGAATGATGTGAAATAATAACATTAAAAGTAGGAATTAAAAATCATCGAATTTTCTACACAACAAAATTAAATGAAATGTTTCTCAAATTCTTATGATTTTTCTATCGATAATGTATAAATATTTTAATACTAAAATAAACTATGTTTTTTTTTTATTTCTAAAAACGTAAATTATAATTTCAAATAGATTTCTTTAGTGGTTTCTTTTACATTTAAATGAAGAAATAAAAAATATTTTATTCCTAACTTGGTCATGTGTATATATATATATATATATACTTTCTATTGTTTAGTAACTTAATATTAATTATATATTACAGTTTATGTTGTGTACTGTCTCATTTATATATACCATTGGTACATAATAAGAAAATTCATTATCGGCAAGTATCGATTACCTAATACAGCAAAAAAATTATTTTATATTATCAAATTCAGGCTGTTTAATATATCTTTCATAATTTTTTTTAAATTAATAGTATGTCTCTAAATAATTGATGAATTTATTTATAATAATATAAGTTCATTAAAGTTCATTTTAATCAGCCGAAATTTGATACAAGTGCGATGATTCATTTTAAATCCTAAATCGTATTGAATAATATTCAATTTGATTATAATTGAGCATATATATATATATTGATATTAGTATGCTCAAAAACGAACGCATTTTTAAAATACGAGATAAATTCGCAAATGCTGAAAATCATTCGTTTTCAAAAAGTATTAACACTGACTTATAAAAAAGTCATTGTGTGCAAATTATTAATATAACATATATGTGTGTGTGTATATATATAAAATACAATTAAATGCTAAGTTTCTTCTAAGTTTTTCTTCTCATTTTCACATTTGTATATCAATAAACTTATAGAAACTTTTTTTTCAAATCGATTTCTTTACAACGTGTCAAAAATGAACACACGTAATTAATTATTATTTTAATTTGAAGATTTGAAATAATTTAAAAATAAATAAACCCGCTATTATATTGAATTGAATAATAATTAATGTAATTTCTCATGTTAATACATGAGTTTATAATTAAACTCGCAATGTAGTTTAAATGAAATTTTTCAAACATTTCAATTAGATTAAGTAAAAATTACTATTTTAAAAAGAGCACTAAAAAAATACCCTTTTTCTTATTATTCTAAAAGCTATCATAAATTCCATTATATATATATATAATTAAGTTTATTGCTTAAGATGTATATGTTGTATTTTGCACATGAGTTTTTATACATTTTAATTGTACTGTGCATAATCTCTCTTGGTATATGAGAAATGATTTTTGCGAGTTGATCAATTATTTTCTTTTCTCTTTCTTTTTTTTTTTTTTAAACCAAGTTATTTGAATGATATTACATGCTATAATTAATTACAATACAAATTTGTAATGATAAATTAATGTTGCTTTGAAAATAATGCTCTCTTACCTTTCTTCTCTGCTTCTTTCTCTGTATTCCCGATCTCTTTCACGATCACGTTCTCTTTCTCTGCTGCGTGATCTTTCTCGAGGATACGGCTCACTATAATAACGTTCCCTATCACGGTCACGATCTCGTTCTCTTTCACGATCACGTTCTCTATCCCGTTCTCTTTCTCTGTCTCTGCTACGTTCTCTGTATTCTCGATCACGACTTCTGGATCGTTCACGACGTCTTCTATGACTGCGATCTCTCTCGCGTGAACGAGAACGTTCTAAAAAGAAAAAATAAACAAGTTAATCAATTTATTTGTTTACACATTGTTTATAATAATTAAACAATATATAGTTTGTTGTTTTGATTTTAATTTAAATAATATTGTATATTACTAACCTCTACGTGCAGAACCATAACTCTTAGTTTCAACACCCCGTAGAGTATCTTGTAGCGAACTGATTAGTATTTTGCATCTATCATCCGCAGCAACCTTTGATTGTTTAATTAAAGAAATAGCAGTGACTAAAGTTTCAATGGCGCTGGCATATTCTCCTGCCGCAGCATCCGATACTGCTCTGGCTATGGCAGAAGATGAGACTGTTCTATTGCGTCCCATTATTTCTTCAAATTCCTGATCAGTGAGTGGAGGAGGACCCTCGGGACGATGATCAGGACCTGGTGCACCATATGGTGGCTAAAAATTCATTAAATATAGATTAATATATCAAATATTAGTTGAAGTATAAATATTTGTTTAATTAAATAAATAATACCTGTGCTGCGGGTGGCCCATAACCATGAGGTGGTACATGGGGTGGTCCATGCGGTGGACCATGGGGTTGCCCATGAGGTGGCCCATGAGGAGGTCCATGAGGTGGCCCATGAGGAGGACCATGAGGAGGACCAGGTGGTCCTGGAGGATGTTGCCCGGGATGTTGATGAGGTCCTTGTGGGAAGAATGCAGGATTAACATGAGGTGCTGGTCCTCCTGGTGGTCCTTGAGGTGGGCCCTGAGGTGGACCTCCGTGTCCAGGAGGAGGACCGCCTGGTCCTAGTAACATTTCATATTAATATTCTTTTAAAAGATACAAAGGAATATATTATTAATTTCTATATACGCTTTAGGGGAGATTTTTTATACCTTTCCATCATTTACTACATTTCTAATTTTTCTATTACTCTAATATCTTCTTCTTTAGTAAATTATATTAAATTATATTTGTTAAAACACAAATTAAAAGTAATAGAAAAAAATAAAATATTAATATAATAAATAATATTATTAAATTAATGTTATAAATTTAACTATAACTATTTGATGTTAAGTATACAATTGTTTGAAACACCTTGTATCTCAATGCGCATATTCAAAATAAATATTTCCCTCAATATCATGCACAATATAATAACTAATAAAGAATGATTTAAATAACAGTTTATGAACGTTTCAAAACTCTCACCACCCATAGAACCTGGAGGAGGTCCTCTCTGTGGTGGCCCTTGGCCAGGTTGCGGGCCTTGCATATGTTGATGCTGAGGGAAACCTGGTGGTCCCTGAGGCCCGTGATGCATTCCTATGCACATTCAATCATTTTGTCATCATATATTTTTAAAAATAAAAAAACAAATAACAATTATAATAATAAAAAGAGAATTGTGCTATTAAAAAAAATAACTTTCTATATTGAAAATAAAACAAATGTGCTATATTCAACGCCATATCTATATTTTTATTCAAAATATAAATAAAGCATATAAGTCCAAGATGTTTCAAATTTATAATCATTAGTATTTCTTGAAATATAATAATTTACAAACCTGGTGGTCTATTCCATTCTGGTCGTGGCTGAGCACCTCTAGGATCACCTGGAGGTCCTCCAGGATGTCCAGGTGGTCCACGAGGAGGACCCTGACCAGGAGGTCCAGGTGGACCACCATGGAATTGCTGAATAAAAATACAAAAATAATTTTACTTTATATAAAAACCATATATACATCAAATATACTCTCATGCAAGTTTACTAATCTTGAAAATTTATTATTCAAGACAATTATTTATTATGTGCCAATTTCATATAAATAATAGCAAAACAAAACAAAAGAACTTCGTCATAAGTTACCTGCAATATATAATATAACTGACTTCTGAAATATCTCTAGGATCAATTTTATTCGTAATGTTGGACATGTAATTGCACAAAGTATTCAAACTTATATGATAATAATTAATGAAAGTTTTGTACAATTTAATCTAGACCATCTTTTAATAACAAAATAAAAACTAGAACTTTGCAGAATTTAAATTTATTTGTTTATGCATTATATTCTGCTTTATTAGAATATTCGTTAAAGAAACTATTGATAACGATATACAAGAATTATGCTAACTGTTAAAAATGTATATTGGACGAGAATTCTATTTTAAATATAAACTCCATATTATATATTAATATAAATGCATATATATACTTAGAGAAAACTGTACAATATCTTTATTACATTTCATGCTAAATATTTATATAACGACGTACCATGCCTGGTGGTCTATGCTGACCAGGTCCTGGTCCTGGAGGCCCTTGTTGTGGTGGACCACCAGGTCCACTAGGACCCCTCGGAGGTCCTGGTGGACCATTCGGTCTGGGACCATTCCATGGTGCTTGTTGATATCCTGGTGGAGGAGGGCCTTGATTAGGATGTCCAGGTAAAGGATGATGCGGTCCAGGACCGGGACCCATAGGTGGTCCATGCATTCGTGGTGGTCCTTGTTGACCAGGTCCACCTGGTCCTCCAGGCGGGCCCATACCTGGTGGTGGCATCCTTTGAGGTCTGACACCTTGTGGAGGTCCCATCATCATTCTAGGACCATGATTCTGTTGAGAGTGTTGAGGATGTTGTGGATGTTGTGGATGTTGCTGATGAGGCGGCATAGGTGGTTGATGTTGATGCGGATTATGAGGACGTTGACTCTGACTTTGCTGAGGAGCAGGCGCTGGTCGTGTTTTGCACTGAGATTCAAACTGTAAATATAAGAAAATTCATCCATTATATAAACTTTATTTCATGGAACTTTTTAACTTTAATCTCAGTTACTTAATGCATCATGTTATCTACCTTAATGAGAGCTTGCTTAGTTGGAAATGTTATAACCGGATTCTGACCGTGTAATTCTATTTTAGGTAATCTTTCCATACATATTCTCATACTTTGTTCTGAACCCAGAGAAATTACGCAAAAACCTTTGGACTGTCCATTAGCTCTATTTTCAAAGAACTTTACTTCTACAAAATCAGTTACACCGATATTTGCAACTGCATCAGTTATGTCTTGGTCACTCGTCCACTGTGAAAATAAAATTAGATCTAACTTTAATAATCTGATAATTATTTGAATAAATATACATTTAATATATAAACACATACCCAAGTTAAATTGCCAACATATAGTTGATGACGTCTTCCAATTTGATTAGGTTGAATGTTGTTACCAAGCTGATGGTACGGTGCATTCCCATTAGTCTCTTCGTTAGTTGATGTTGTGTCTCCACCTCCATCACCAGCATTGCCACTGGAAACACCGCCATTGCCACCAGCCGGTGCTGCGATTACATCATCGTACAGATCCACACCGTCACCAGCGAATTCATCCTAAAGCATATTCGAAGAAAGAAAGAAATATTATTAAATAATATTATACATACAAACGATGATACATGTATTACAATTTACCATGTAATAAAAGCATATCTCTGGCAGCCATGGAATTACTCTCTTTAAATACGGAAAAAACTTAGCATCGACAAATTACATAGAAATTTTTAATTCGGATGTCACACGAATGGACGTTTGTAAAAAAGAAAGAAAAGGAAATAAATAAATAAAAAAATAAAAAAAAGAAATCTTCTCAATGATATAAGAAAATAGTTTAGATTATTAAATATATGAAATATGTATCGTTAAATTAGAACATGCAGTGCAAATGCAGTGCTCCATAAAACATCAAAATATAATATATAATCGGAGTGGAAATAAATACTACGACATTAATTGCCTTACCGCTAACACCATTTTGATTATTCCTGCTGGAAACCTCTATTAACTCTTTCGTATTTGTTCTATGTCCCGAAAAGTTTATAACGCGGTATACACAATACGCACTATTTATGTAACGTAGATTAATAATAAATGATTTTTACAAGACTACAGTTTATTCATTTATCCGATTTCATTAACACAAAATTAAGTACACGATAATACTTTGAAAGTTTATATTTTCGAGTTAGAATATAGCCTTCGTCGAGCGATCGTTAATATCGCTCCTCCTCCATGACGCCGAAACACTTCCGAAATTATACTAAACGCGTGGTACATATACGTGTATATATGTGTGTATGTATGTATGTATAATTTTTGCCTTCTCCTTATAAATAATCACTATCGACTATCGATATTTTAAAAATAATATTCACCCCCCTTAATAATTACGTATAATTATACAAACTTTGTATTATTATCTAAGATAAGATCGAATTACCTGCGCGAAATCTTGCTCGAGATCATCGGCGTACAAATCAATGTCACCGTCAGCCATTTTACCGACGCTAACTGCACCGCCAAGCCCATCAATTTCCTTCCTCGATTTTAAGAGGTTAGTACTTGAACGCCCTCTTATATCGCTCTAAAAACACAAGTTAACAAATACATTTTTCATTGGCAGATAGATATTTTTAAAAAAAGATTAATTATAAAATTAGTGTATAAATTATTACCTAGGTTAATTCAAATATCCTTTTTATATCGACACAATTCTTAGTAATAAAAATACATAATCTAAACGTGTGAACTATTTTTCTCTTGCTACAGAATTATCTATAACAATAATCGAAAGAACAGAGTTAATAGAAGCACATACTCTGCTGTCTCGTGCGTGGAAATAAGAATTTCCTATAAGCACAGTTATTATAAACACAGTTATATGTAGTCAACTAAAAATAAACTCGATATCGTGAATTTTAAATTTTCACTTACCAGATGTCGTTCTTTTAATATGAAGCCCTCTAGTTTCGAATATTATCGAATCAGAATCGACCTTTTTCAATGTAACGTTTTATCGACCTGACGTAAGATCGGCCAATAAAAATAAAGTAAACGAAATTAAACTAACCTCATTGGTCGAAATAAGAATGAGTTTAAAGTTATATTTTTGAGACTACTTGGTGAGTGTGTATAACCTTAAATGTGAATGTATTAATATGCATCTGTCAAAATATTAGAAATGAATTGATATTAATGATTTAACGATACGCTTAATTATATATAATTAGATATTCAAATAAATATTTGTAATGTCTTCGACACATTTGTCAAGTGGAAGATTAAATGTCGCTCTTATACAAGAACAAGCAAGAAAACAATTGTTGCATTTACTTGAACAATGCGATGGTACAAAGGTAATATAAGTATTGACAGTATAATTAATATTTAATTATCGTATTTTCTATGTGTACAATCTAATCTATTTTGACAGGCAATTATTTGGGACCAGTCGTTGGCTGGTCCAATTGGACTTGTCGCAAAGTATAATTTGTTAGAGGAGCATGATGTTGTCAAAATGTATCCGTTATGTGGTGGAACTTTATCAATACCATCCAATATCGCAAATATTATATTTATTACAAGACCGCAATTAGCTTTGATGGATTTAGTAGCTGACAATGTACACGGGTATACATTATTTCATAAATTTTAATGACATTATCGATATCTGTATTATATTTATAAAATACCTATTTATTTTAACAGAGAAGAAGGAAAAAGGCCTCGTAAAGAATTTCATTTATTTTTTGTACCAAGAAAAAGTTTGTTATGTCAAAAGAAACTTCAAAACCGAGGTGTCTTTGGCAGCTTTACATTAATAGAAGAATTCAAATGTGATTTATTTCCATTTGACAGCGATCTTTTATCAATGGAACTTAACGAATCGTTCAAAGAATTTTATTTGGAAAATGATCCTACTTGTTTGTATCAAGTAGCTCAAGCTATTCAAGGTTTACAAAAATTATATGGAAAGATTTCAAAGGTTACAGGTAGAGGACCTGCTGCTGCCAAAGTATGCGAATTATTAGAACGATTAAATCGTGAAGAAGAAGACAGTAAAATGCATGTATTGCAACCGACATCTATTGAACATTTATTATTATTAGATAGATCTGTTGATTTATTATCACCTTTAGTCACTCAATTAACTTACGAAGGCTTAATAGATGAAATATTTGGAATAAAATATAGTAAAGTATATTTTATAAATTACTTGTTACTTATAAGAATATTTTTTTTTTTATATATGTTGATATCAAACAAATAAATTTCAGATACAGTACAGTTGCCTGCTAAAAAGTTTCACGACACCGAAGACTCTCCAACTGTAATGTCTCTCAATGAGAAAGAACAAATTATACTTAACTCTGGAGAAGAATTATTTGCTGAAATTAGGTGAATACTAAGATTATCTATTCCTTGACATAACATTTATATCTTTCTCATTTACAGAGATAAAAACTTTAATGGAGTAGGTCCAGTTCTTAGTAGAAAAGCTAAAGTTATATCGTCGCAATTTGATGAACGACACGGAGATAAAAGTGTTCAAGAAATTAAACAATTCGTAGCTAAACTACCACATATGTTGGCAACAAAACAATCTTTGGCGAGGCGTAAGTTATTCGAAATAGAGCATTAAAATTCCTAAAACGGTCTAAAAAATAACATAGTATGTTTCTTCGATAGATACAACGATAGCAGAAATGATAAAAGAAGTAACCGATTCTAACAGTTTTCTAGAATCTTTGCAAATCGAACAAGAATTATTAAATTGTATAGATACAGACAAACCTAATTCATACATAGAAGATTTAATAGCTCAACAACAACCATTGCTTCAAGTCCTTCGCCTTCTTTGTATACAATCGTTAACAAATTCTGGTTTGAAACCTAAATTATTAGATTATTATAAAAGAGAAATAATACAAACTTATGGATATCAAAATTTACCAACTTTATTAAATTTAGAAAAAGTTGGTTTATTGAAAACACAACAATCTACGCGCCAATACACTGTATTAAGAAAAGCATTACGTTTAACAGTAGAAGATGAAAGCGAAATAACACCCAAAGATATTAGTTATGTTCATTCAATATATGCACCTCTTAGTATTAGATTAGCGGAACAATTAGTTCAACCAAATGGTTGGCAAGGATTAAACGATGTAATGGGTTTATTACCAGGACCTACAGTATCAAATGTTTCACACAATTTAGCATCAGCAGGAAGAAGTATGAACATTTTATCGATTGAAAGTAGAATATTATATTAACAAAATAATAATTAACTTTTTTTTAAATAGGAAATTCAATTACCAGTGAAGACTCTAATTCAGATCTACCAAAATTAATACTTGTATTTTTTATTGGAGGATGCACATTTGCTGAAATATCAGCCTTACGATTCTTATCTCAACAAGAGGATTGTAAGTATTAAATTAAACAATCAAATTTATACATCAAAGAAATAAATATCAATTAACTTTCTTTTAGTAAACGTCGAATTTATCGTGGGAACGACTAAATTAATTAATGGTAATACATTCCTTTCATCATTGATGGAAAATATGGAACAAAGTTGATTTGATAAGCGATAAATAAATCTTTCTATATACTACCCCAAACAAGCGTGTCATGTATATGTATATGTATATGTAGATATGTATATATATATATATATATATATATCTATTAATAGATTTAATGAAATCGCAGGTATATAAATTAAATATATAAAAGAAAAAAACAAAAAATTTAAGTACATATAAACCTCTAATAATGAAAATAAAAACATCGAAAATTCCATTGCTTTTACAACCTATAAAAGCTTCATCGATTTAAATAATAAACGTTTAAAATAATAAAAAATGTACTAACCGTATATTAGGTTGAGTGTATATTACGATCACAGAAGCAGAGATAGATAGAATGACTCGTAAATATTTCGTGGATATTTACGATCGGTGAATGTTTCCAAAGCCACGAGTCTAAACGAGCAACGGATTTGAATTCGTTAACCGACAGGGAGGTAGATGCTAATCCATGAAAGAAAATCTAAAGAGAAAGAGAGAGCAAAAGAAAGAAGAAATATTACCGACATTTCACACTTACCGACAGTGTAAGTAACATTAGTTTAAAAGTCTGCCAACGTAGAGCGCCACAGATCTTCGACAGACGGCTCGACAGTCGTAACAGAACACGACGGGAAAGCGAAAAGGCGTGTAAAAATAATTTCGCTAATAATTCCTATCAATCTATAGAAAAAAAACAACCTTATTGTGTCGTGTCGTGTATAATCAACCTCGATATTCATTGTAATTTAAACTTGTTGCTTTCCTGGTGCATCACGCGAGTGTGTGGTGTGTGTACGTGTGTATATATACGTGCGTGCATACTATATATATATATATATATATGTATATATAACTATATATATAATATATATATATTATATACATACATATACATATCTATATATATACGTGCGTGCGTGCGTGCGTGCGTATGTACGTTTGCGTGACACGTACGGGGCGTGTACGTCGTTTTCCGGGGTGCGGTGCATTTCTCATAGGAACCGAAAGATCTCTCACACGGATCAACGAAATCTTAAATATGTTTGATGGATCATCCTTTATAAGAAAACTAAGCTGCCTGGATTGAAGTGTAATTTTTCTTTAAGTTGCGCGCATGCCTCCGTGCTCCTCGCTCGCTCGCCATTTTGGAGGTGAATATTATTTTTTACCCTCTTTGCGTTTAGCTAGGAAAGAGTGAGTGAGTAAGTGAATGAGAAAGAAAGAAAGAGTGAGTGAGAAAGAGAAAGAAAGAAAGAAGGAAAGAAAGAGAGAAAGAGAAAGAGAAAGAAAAAGATCGTTCATGAACTTGAACTGCATTTCGCCGGGAAGCACAGTTCCTCGTCCAGGACACGGGGATGTCATTCGACCAATGTGGACGCGCGATTATTTCTTCTTCTCTTCGATCAAAGTGACGACAACGACAACGACAACAATAACGACAACTACAACTACTTAGAGGAGGACAATCTTCCTCTGGGACTCCTCACCAATTCCTCGTCTGTCTCTTTCTTATTCGTTTTCTTATCCTCTCGTCTTTTTCATTCTCTCTCTATCTATCTCTCTTTTTCTCTCCCTCATACACACTTAACATACACACCTACCCACTTCCCTTCTCTCTCTTTCTCTTTCTCTCTATCTCATTCTCTTTCTTTTTTCTTCTTTCCCTATCTTTTTTTGCGTTCGATGGTTCGCGTTCGCTCGCTCCGACGCGATCCTCTCGAATGAGAAAAAAGACCCAACCCTCTTTACCACCCGCATTTTACATCTGCGAATTTAACGTTTAAACGTTCTTAATCATTATTCTATTTAATTGCTCGATCAACAACCCGATAACATATATCCCCCTCCTCCTCCTCTCCTCGTTATTTCCATTCTTTATTATCGCTGGACTTCCCTTACCCCCTTCTTCCTTCCTTCCATCCTTCGTCTCCTCCTTCTACTACACCCCCTTCCTTTCCTCCTTCCCGAAAAGAAGAAGAAAAGAAAAAAAAAGAAAAAGAAAAAAAATTTTCTTCACCGATTTCACGTGCGAGCGCGGAGAATGCGCGTTCTCGACATACCACTTCGACCGCCTTAGGTTCACCATTCCCCTTGCCTTAAAAGTAAACCCTTTTCCGGCGATTCGTATTCTTAAGAAGGATTCTCGAATAATACGTGTTGTGTTTGCACGATCAACAAGGATGATAATGATTACAATGATAGGGTTTTTCTTTTTTTTTTTTATTATTGTACGATAGTCATGACAATTTCGTTTTATATTTAACTTCATAAGTCTTTTTTATTTATAAATGCATCTCTTGATTGTTCACAAAGATCATGAACCTACATTTCATTTTTGTCATTCCTTGTTGGTCCTGTTCAATGAGATTTAAAGATCATTATTGTAAAATGTCATCTTTGGGGGGGGGTTTGTTTCTTTCTTTTTCAGATAGAATGTTATACCTGGGAATGGATTGACAGAGAATTTTGAGGGTTTCGAAGGACATTTTGATTGTATTTGATTATATAATAACAGAGAAATAGAGAGAGAGAAAAAGGAGACGGCACAACGTAAGGAGAAATAGGCCTCGGCCATTTAATAGATTCAATTTGTCTACTATGCCAGCCGTTTCAAGACCCGGTAGCCTTAAAGATCCAGAGATAGCTGAATTATTTGAGAAAAATGATCCGGAGAAAATATTTGAAGACCTTAGGGAAATTGGACATGGTAGCTTTGGAGCTGTCTATTATGCCCGATGTTTGGTTACCAAAGAAATTGTTGCTATTAAGAAAATGTCATATTTGGGAAAACAAACGGTTGAAAAGTGGCAGGATATTCTTAAAGAAATTCGTTTTCTTAAGCAACTCAATCACCCAAATACCATAGAATATAAGGGTTGTTACCTCAGGGACCATACTGCCTGGGTACGAGATATTTAAATGATTACAAATTATTAGGTATTTAATGTTTGTATTCTATCGTTGACATATACTTTCTTTCTATAGTTGGTGATGGAATATTGTCTTGGATCTGCGTCAGACATTATAGAGGTACATAAAAGACCTTTAAAGGAAGATGAAATATCAGCAATTTGTGAAGGTGTTTTACGTGGTTTACATTATCTACATTCTCTTGGAAGAATTCATAGAGATGTTAAAGCTGGTAATATTCTTCTTACCGAAAATGGTACCGTCAAGTTGGCTGATTTTGGTTCGGCTAGTATTAAATGTCCGGCTAATAGTTTCGTCGGAACTCCATATTGGATGGCACCAGAAGTGATATTAGCTATGGACGAAGGGCAATATGATGGTAAAGTTGACGTATGGTCATTAGGAATTACATGCATCGAACTAGGTTTGTTTCATTTCATTCTAATTCTACTTTTTAATACTTCATTAAGTTTTAATTATTAAGTTTTAATTATTATTTCAGCTGAAAGAAAGCCTCCTTACTTTAATATGAATGCTATGAGTGCTTTGTATCATATTGCACAAAATGACACTCCTGCTTTGAACTCACCAGATTGGACAGATATTTTTCGACATTTTGTTGAAGTTTGTCTTACAAAAAGTCCTAATGATAGACCAACATCTGGTACACTCTTGTCTGTACGTTATTTATATATTATTAATATACAATAATCGAATTGATTAGATATTTAAATAATAGTATGTATATACAATTTTTATCTTAATAGTTTTTATTTAAAAAAAAAAAACCTACTGGTCTAGTTTATTATCTTCTTATAGATTTATTTATTTTACAGCATCAGTTTGTAACAAGAACACGCTCTCCACAAGTTTTAATAGATTTGATTCAAAGAACTAAAGCTGCTGTTAGAGAACTAGATAATTTAAATTATCGCAAGATGAAAAAGATTTTGATGATAGACGCGTGTGAAACTGAAAGTACAGTTGGGGATGCAGATGGTATGCATATTATCATTGAAATACATTTTTTTGTATACTTTGAAATTGATAATAATGTTAAATTTGAATTGTAGATACTCCTGACGAACAAACTGGTGGTGATAGTAGTAAAAGTAATTCAATTACCTCAGAACATTCGATTCATTCAATGGGAGTATCAGCGAGTTCTCAAAGTTCCTCCACAAACAGCTTACCACTGCCTAATGCAGATTCCAATGATTATTCCACTGGTTCTGTTAGAAATCGACATAAAATAACAACCGGTGGTGTTACCGCTAATCTGCTAGAACATGGTGCCAATAATTTTGCAACCATTAGAACAACATCGATCGTGACTAAACAACAAAAGGAACATATGCAAGAAGAGATGCATGAACAAATGAGTGGTTATAAGAGAATGAGGAGGGAACATCAAGGAGCTTTGGTAAATTTTGATATAATGATTTCTATTTAATATTTAATAAAATGTAAATCTTATGATTTTATTATTTTATTCATAGGTTAAATTGGAAGAACGTTGTAAAATGGAAATGGAATCCCATAAACAATTATTAGATAAGGAATACGAAACGTTATTACAACAATTTAGTAAAGAATTGGAGAAATTACAGCTTAGGCATCTTCAAGAATTGGAACGTAAACTTAAACAGAACCAAAATGCGGAGAAAAAATTACATAAAGAAATTACATGTAGACAAGAAGTGGACCGTAAAGCTCTTGAAGCTCAACAGAAACGAGAGTACAAAGTAATAAATAATATCATTTAAGATTTTCAAATCAATTTATTTGATTTCAATTGATGAAAGATTCTATATTAATTGATTTTTATAGGCATACAAAGAAAGATGGAAAAAAGAACTTTCTCAGGACGAAGTAACACCAAAGCGACAAAGGGATGCTACTCTTCAAAGTCAAAAAGATAATTTAAGACAAATGGAGGCACAGGAAGAACAACGCTTAGCTAGAGGACAAAGAGAATATCTTGATCTTGAGATTCGTAAATTTAGAAGAAAAAAGTTGCTCATCTTTCACAGTCTTGAGCAAGAACTTTTACGTGAAGTTAGTATAAATCATTTGCTTATGGTTTAATTATAATTTCATCGATTATATGATTTTTAAATTGATATTTTAGGAATTGAATAAAAGGCAACAACAATTAGAGCAAGCGCATGCCA